ACGATCAGCTCGGCGAACTCCGTGCAGACATCCACACAGCCATCGTGGGTCCTGGGCCCATCGAACTCCTCCAGCTAGTCCTCATGTAGCCTGAAAGTGAAGCATGAAGGTCGGCCGTCCGAGTCAACGCCCTCGACGGTCAGCTCCCGGTTTCTCCTGGCCCATGGCGCGAGATGAAGGGGGATAGCAGCTCGCTGGCGCTGCCACCAAAGTCGTCGCCGCAATCGACGTAGAGGCTCTTGATGTAGGATGTTGTGTGCTTTATCTGTGCATGCACGTTGGCATGGTCAAGCTGGACGCAAGAAAAAGATAAGGTGGTTAGTGAGAGAAGGTGAGCTTGCGGGAGAGTTATTCAATACATCAATAGTATCACATCTCACCTCCTTGTGCTGGAATGCCTTGTTGAGGATGTTCAATTGCTCAAGCACATTGCAATGAAAAACAAGAGGAAATGAGACCTGTAGCTTTTCACGAGCTCATACATCTTCGCGTCTCACTCCTTCAGCATCACGATCAGAGCTAAAAGCACGACGACAAGCCTGAGCACTGCGTCGCCCCGCGAGAGCCAACGGACGGCATGCATGCCTTGCAGTTCAAGACTTGTGGAAGTGAAAACCTCTTGGAGGCCAATGAAGTGCTGGTGCTAAGGCCCCGGCCGAGATGCTCTGACACGGCACAAATTTCCGGGTCAATCACGTTGAATGCGGGAATCTTCTTGGCGGCTGTCTTAGCTGCCAGTGCCTCCCAGTACAACAAGACAAAAACATGTAATTAGTCAGGCACATTATGAACCAAAATAAACTGCACAAGGCAGGAACCTTAACATTTTGAATAGCTGTGCGTGATGCAGTGGGATGATACCAAATGGGGGATGCGCAGGCGGGGGCGTGTTGTGAGGCCCGACTTGCTGCCCATCATGATGTTCGCACCGTCGGTGCTGATGCCAGCAATGCATTGAAGGTCGTTGTCGACTGCCTGCAGGTGTGACAAGAGAATGCTAAGAAGAGAATCAGCGTCCTCCTTCTCCACGGTGAGTAATGCCATGAACTCCGTGACGATCTTGTTGTCACGGATGAAGGTGATGAAGAGGATCAGGTGCTTCCCGCTGCACCTATCCATGCTCTCGTCAATTGAGATGCCGACAAAGGGCGACGTCAGCATATGTTCCTGCTGGGTTGTTTGGAGCCATGTCTGCCAATAAAAACAATAGTCAGTCAACTATGAACGTGTATATTATTGAAACACCAATGTAAATAACGAAGCATATGGCAGTTGCACTCACAAGGTTTAGTAGGTGCCGTACCCCTTCTTCGGGAAGCCCTTCACGCCCTTCTCTGCCAGGTACTGCACAAGTTTCACCCACATCCCCATGGGCGCGTCGGACTTGCTGAGAGTCGAGAAGGGCGACGACGCGCAACTTCTGCTCATCAACCGTTGCGCGATTTTGGTCGATCAGCGGCTGCCTCGCCCCGCACTCCTGCAAAGTTGTGAACTTCGCCACCGTCAGCTTGTGCTTCTGGGTGCTAGCGTGCTTATGAAACGACTGTGTCTGCACGCCAGTGGCGCCTTTCCCGCGCCTCCCGCACTTGCCTGCATCGCCAGCATGAGCTGCACAAACAGTACACTTGAACGCAGGCAACCCCATGGAGGTTCAAGTTATTTGAAGCCAGGGTAAGCATATAGATTACTGATTCTTGAACTTTTCAATCGCATCCTCGTATACATTTTCCTTGAGCTCCGCCAAGTTGATGTTGAGGCGAGGACGTGGCCGTTCAGAGGACCCGGGTTGGTTGCTGACGTCGGCAGACGCCGATAATGCCTTGGTAAAGCTCAAGATTGCCTGCTTGAGCCGGATGGTGGGCGCCATGGTCTGAGTGGGATGGTGCAAGGCCGAAGCTACATTAGGTTCCGCGGCTGTCTCTTCCATAGTGTCAAGATGGATTGAGATAACGGGTGCTGTGGGTTCCTTCTGGGTGCGGATCGTATCGGGCGTGGCGCGTGCTGCCTTCTCGAGTGCTAGAGAGCTGAGGAAGAAATCTAAGCATGTTAAGGCAGGCTGGGAGTCAAGGTCGTCATCCCTCGTGGCGGGATTGTCCTGCACCGCCAAGGCGGGGTTCTGAGAGAGCCTACAGAGCAAGAACTAGGGAGGTCGTTTTGAGGCAAAACTGGGGACTGGTTGGGGCCAATGAGTTGAAGCTTGGGGTGTGAATGAAACCCTAGCTCGAAGACGATGGCCCTATAACCCACCACGGACCATCCATGAGTTGGGTGGTTGCCTAGCATGCACAGGAACGACGAGGCGCGTCTGCCGTGCACTACTGTCCGCAGTGTTTCGTGGGTGCCTAGTGTAGCAACGAGGGCACTGGAGGAGTTCGTGATGGTAAGCAAAAGCTGCCTAAAGGACTAATCAGTGCTTTAACAAGGTGTGTGCTTGTGCTTACGAGGGAAAAATCGCGCCGCAGGGCGGCGTCGCCCTCAGAACTTGATTGTTGTCCCCGGTATCGCGTGATTGACGCGATAATAGTCAGGTACCACCGCTAATCCCGGATGTCGGCACCAAACTAGGTACATTGAATCAGAGTCGGTACACGTTTGTACTCAGAAGGATCAGAGTACACTCCCGAAAAAACTCTAAAACTTCAGACTTGGCCTAAGAAAATATATGATTCATCAGAGTTTCAGTTGAGGCCCTAAAAAAATCTGAAGCTTCAGAGTATACAAAATATATATATATATATATATATATATATATATATATATATATATATATATATATATATATATATATATATATATATATATATATATATATATATATGTGCAAATCAGAGAAATTTCTTCGATTGCCGGGGTGCCTGCTGGTAGTACAATCAAGGTAAAAAAATAACCTACACTGATGCCTCTGGCTAAAAATTCAAAACTTCAAGTTACACTGACGCACCAGGGTTTCTAAAAACGCAACATTGCTAATCAGGGTATTGAAAAAGGCTACACTGTTAAACAGATAAGCTGAAATCCAAAGATAGACCCTGGTTGTCTCTACCTGCAGGGCCCATGCTGTATGGCTTGCATGGGAGAAGGGAGTGGAGGGGGGTTGGGGGTTGCTTGTTCGGGAAAGTACTTACTGTCCTGTTACGGTAACTAGTTCTTAGAATCTAGGTGCTAAGTTAGGTATGTGGAAAATGTGACTAAGGAGAAGAAATGGGTGGTACAAAGAGAATGTCGAGAAGTTTGGTGTACTCCCTAAGATGCAACCCACTAAAGCATATCTAAACTAACAAAGATAGTTTGACACACCCCCATATGCTAAGTGGAGAGCACCAAAGAAAACATACAGCGTAGTCAAATGGTCACAAGACCAGTCAAGAAAAGCAACAACACAAGGCTCACAGTGGATCACGAAGTCACCACACAGTCCGAGCACAGACAAGCGGCCACAAGGCCAGTTCGTATGGTTCACAAGTATATTCATGTATAAATGCAATAACAAACATAATAAGAAATAACAAGCAAGACTACAGTAACTGAGGGCCAACGTCAACGAGACCTAACTGCAGACAGAACCTGTGGTGATCACCAGGCGTAAGGGCCTTGGTGAAGACCAAGTCATCGACATACACAAGAACAAGGAAATGTGTGGGCCCAGAACGAACGAACAGCGACGGGTCGGCGGAAGAAGGACGAAACCCGAGGGCGGCAAGAGTGGTGTGTACTGTGTCGTGCCACTCACGGGGCGCCTGGCGGAGACCGTAGACTGGTCGCCTCAGGCTCCACTGGGTCCCAGGCGGGAAAGTGCCAGTGAAGCCGGGGGGACGGCGTAGCCAGATCTCCTCGTGCAGGCTGCCCTGGAGAAAGGCGGTCGAAAATTCAAGGGAGTGCAGCTCGTAGTCTCGCTGTGCTGCAACGTGAAGTAACACCCGAAGAGTAGTCATCTTCGGAGTCTGTGCGAAGGTCTGAAAGAAGTCAACTCCCTCGCGCTGACTGAAACCTCTAGCCACGTAGCACGCCTTGAAGACAGGCGGTGATCCCAGCGGCCACTTCACCTTGAAGATCCACATGCCATCGACTACGTTCGCCCCAGGAGGGGGAACTGCATCGACGTAGGTGCCTGTGGATCTGTAAGAGGCCATCTTTGACTCCATGGCTGCTATCCACTGAGAGGCCCACTGCCCTGACATTGCCTCACGGTGCGTGCGAGGAGTCGGTATGTCAAGGGCGTCGGGGTCTCCCTCAGGGGCTAGCAGCATGGCACAGAGATGGGGAGAAGCGGCTGCCAAGAACTCCAGCTCAAACTGCCTGTCCTCTAGGACGTCACAGCCAAAGGCACACTCACCCCCGACGGACAAAGGACGGGCAGGCACCACCCGAGTGGCGTTGTCAAGGCAGCGGGTGGCGGCAAAGTCAGCGACAGCAGCAGTAATAGCCGAGACAGACGACGGTGAGGCACGAGGGTCCGTGACTAGAGAGGCAAGAACACGAGTGACAACAGGACGGGTGGCACGGTAGTAGTCGGTGATAGGGGTAGAGGTGGAGGCTGTAAGAGACGACTCAGGAGGTGACGGGAGAACACATTTAGGCAGAGAACGGCAACGACTGGAACAAAGTAAGACAGTACGGAGGTTGTTTAGAGAAGACGAGGGACGTGCACGATCGGGACAGCGAACTGTCCAGTCGTGAGGAACAACAAGAGGAGACGACTGTGACCGAGGAGGAGAGAAAACAGCCGGAGACGAGTCCGGAGAGGGAAATGTAGGACCGCAAGCAGGAGGAGACAGTAAGCAGTCTAGAGGAGAAGAAGGAAGACCAAGGGCCCGAAGGCCACTCACAGGTGGAGGCAATGGCTGCAAAGGTGGCGGCTGCTGTGGCTGCTGCTGCTGCTGCTGCCGCTGCTGTTGCTGCTGCTGCTGCTCCTGCTACTACCGCTCCAACTCCAGCCTCTCCTGCTCCGATCTCTCCCGCTCCTTGCGCTCCAGCTGATGAAGTCTCTGGAAACTCGTCGGTTAGCGGTGGGGAGGTGGGGTAGCGCCGCCAGCTCCAGTCTCCTCGGAACTAGCACCTTCAGCTCCAGCACCCCCAGAACTAGTGTCCCCAGCACGAGCACCCCCAGAACTAGCACCGCCAGTGCCAGCACCCTTAGCGCAAGTACCTCCAGAACTAGCACCTCCAACGCCAGTACCCTCAGCTCCAGCACCCTCAGAACTAGCACCTCTAGTGCCAGTACCCTCAGCTCCAACACCCTCAGAACTAGCACCCCCAGTGCCCGTGCCCCGAAAACCAACACCCCCATAGTCGACTGCAACCTCTCGCGGTAGTGCCGAAGGCTGCCACGGTGACTGTGGGGACGACTGTGGGGAAGGAGACGGTACCTGATGTGCTACCGAGGGGAGAGGGGTAGCGTGAGACACATCAGACAGGGCAGGACCAGGGGGGCGGGTGTATCGGAGGAGGAGAGGGGGGAGGAGGAGAAGGAGGAGGTATCGGAGGAGGAGAGGGGCGAGGAAAAGAGGAGGGGGGGAAACCGGGAGGCCTTGACAAGGGTACTAGGTGTACTAGGACACAGACTCGTCAAACAGGACGTCACGAGAGTTAAAGAACCGATGGAGGGGCGGGTGGTAAAAAGGTGTACTCAGAGGAGTCCACCGGGAAACCAAGGAAGACACAGGGGACGGCGCGAGCCAAGAGCTTGTCCGCAGAGGTGTCGCGGACAAGCGCAAGGCAGCCCCAGACTTGAAACTCCGACGCAACACCAGGGGACCCGGTCCAAAGACTGGTCGGTGAAACCCCTTGCTGTGAGACACGGGGCCAGAGATTCAGCTGGTGGGCGGCGTAGTGAACCGCGTAGGGCCACAGAAAATGGGGCGCACGGGCATGGATCATGGAGGTGCGGGCGATCTCCATGACCAAGCCTATGCGGCGCTCAGCAACCCCATTTTGCTGTGGGGACTCTGGAAGCGTCCAGGACTGGGTGATGCCCTACTCGCGAAAGAATCCGGCAAGAATGCCTGAGCGAAACTCACCCCCACGGTCGGAGTGAAGACAACTGACACGACGACCACGAGTAGACTCAGTGGCCAGCAACCACGTGATCAGCGTAGAAGTCACATCGGACTTCTTCGCCAGGGGGAACACGGTGGTGTAGCGGGAGTAGTCGTCAACGACCACCAGAAAGAAACTCTCCCTCTCGGGCCCAGGGCGAGGGGCGGGGCCCCAGACGTCCAAACGAAGAGTCTCGAAGGGTACGGTGGCTGGATGAAGGGAGGAGGAGTGAGGAGTGGCGCGCAGCCGACCCTCGACGCAAGGAGTGCACGGCATTGCAGGCGAGGGAGGGAGCGACAGAAAGACACGTGGGAGACCTGAGAAAACACTGGCTAGCCATGGTGCGAAGGCGTGGGAGGGACAGGTGACCAAGACAGTGGTGCCACGGGACTGTGGGGTGGGCTAGCGACCGACACGAGCACGACGCAACAACCTGACCGGACGCAGCTACCTGACCAGGGGGGGCTACTTAGGTAGAGTCAGTGTGCAGTGTGAAGAGACTGGAGCCCTGCTCCCGGCAAAACTCGGCCAGTGGAGCGTAGGTGTCACCGTCCACGCACGTCCCAATATGCCTTGAAGGAGGAAACAGACGTGGGGGTCCTGAAGGTAACCAACACCTACTAGGTTCCGAGAGAACGAGGGGATGTGGAGACCAGAGAGGACACTTGAGCGGACAGTCGGGCACGGGAGGGTAGTAGTGCTGCGAGCAAATGCTGGCCCTGAAATAGGATCAGCTAGTGCTACCAAAACCGGAGCAGAAAGCGGAGTGAGAGAAGTGTGGTCACGAAAGAAGCACTGAGACGCGCCAGAGTCGAGCGTAAAAGAGAGTGACGCCTCGGCTGTAGGTGCACCTGGGCTAGTAACTACACAAGCACCTAAACTTGAAGCACACGCACCTACAATAGCAACAGGCAAGGATCCTACACTACGAACACGCGAGCAAATAGATCCAAGAGCACTATAGTCAACATCAGCATACATCGCAGAATCGGATCACAAAGCCTCAAACAACTCTACTGCAGACATCTCAAACAGCGCCAGGCCACGAGAACAAACAAGTGGGGCCCAGTCCAGAAAGGGGCCAAAGCCTTACTGAGCGCGGAGACTGTCCGTTAGCTGCGCAAAGCACTGACCTGGAGGGAGCAGACTTCATCTTTGAAGAAAACCCTTGTTTTAAAGAGCTCTGGCCTTCAATATACCGAAAAAAAAATACCCGAAAAGATGGTAATAGCGAGCCATTTTGCCTCTACCCCTACTCTCTTAGGCTATAAAGTTGTTATTCTTGAGGTCAAAAAAATTTGAAGAAGTATTTCTTTAAGCCATACCACATCTCAATAATATAGACGGCCACAGGGCTGACCCTGACGAGTACCAGTCCAAACAACGTACTGGCAGGGGGGAGGGGTGGCACCACGCGACGCCCAGCGGAGTGTGCCAATGCCACGACCGGCGCCCCCTCGTCCACCAGGTCCCTACTGGTGAGACTGCTGCTGCACCTGCCACTGCACCTGCTGTTGTGGCTGTCCCTGCTACTGCTGCTGTCCCTGTTGTCGCTGCTATAACTACTGCTGGTGCTGTGCTGCGTACCAGTCAATTGGTCGAGTGCCCCCACCCGTGGGGCCCGCAGGCCCAGTACTGTTTCCTTTGCCGCCTCCACCGGACGCACTAGTGCCTCCACCACCACCGACACCCCCTCCGCCACCACTGCCGCCGCCACCGCTGTCACCGCTGCCACTACCCTTTCCCCCTTTCTTACCTCCCTTGCCTCGGGGCTGCCCACTAGAGACGGACACGGCTGCAGTCTCCTCTGAAGAAGGAGACGTAGAAGAGGCTAGAGAAGCTGGGAAGGTGGGGAGCTGTGGAACATTGCACCCCTGAAAGAGCCGAGGTACTGAGGCGTTAGACGAGGCGGCTACAAAGCGGATGTTGCTCTCAGTGTCCTTGTGGGCCTCCTCAAGGACCTCGATAGTGAGTGCACTAGCGTGCTTCCGAAGAAGCGCGTCACGAACAGGTGCAAGGCGGTCAGGGAGGCTAGTGACGATAAAGTGAATAGTAATGTGCATGGGCGGAGGGGCAGCTGCAAGCTCAGCCTCAGTACAAGCAGCACGATAGCTAGTGTCGAGCGAGCGCAGGTGGGTGACAAGGGCAGCAGTCCTGTCAAACGATGCTAGGTCGGGAAACAGGAACGGCATGAACAGGCGACCAAGAGAGGCGGGGGTAGGAGTGGAGTAACGAGTCTTAATCGCAGCAAGATACTCCTGGGCAGAGCGAACCTGGTCGAAATGGGCCTCCTCAGACTCAGGGAGAAGGCTGGTGAGGGCCAAGCGAGCTGCAGCGTCACGAGACTCCCACACCGACAAAGCAGCACGGCCTTGAGCAAAGCGCTCCCGGTCTGCAGGAGTAGGCTGAGGAGGAAGGGCAGTGGGGGACCCAGGAGACAGCAGGTCACCAGAGGCGTGCGCCCAGAGCGTGTCACCGTCCTGGCGCTGACTCCGAAGGTACAGCTTGACGCGTATGAGCCAAGTGGGAAACTCTAATGCTCTACCCTTAGCATCGAAACGTAGAGGTCGAGGGGTCGCCATGGCGAGTGTTCAAACGAACTAGAAGCGAGAGTCTAGGGATGAACAGAATGAATGATGAGGAGAGCCACTAGGGCCACAGTCGAAACGAATAACGAACCGAGGCGTGAGGGCTAGAACCTAATCCGTGGTAGGTGTAGGTGGCCGCGGCTTCCAGCCGATGTAGGTGAGGTCAATGGCAGGAGGAGCGAGGTACGTCACGGGCTGTGAACTGCGTGTGCTAGAGGTGCTGACTGGGCACGATACGAACATGACGAGATGCGTTACGGGCGACATGGGACGCTTTTTCTTGAGGCTAGAAACTAACCTACTGCTGATACCATCTTATAATCTAGGTGCTTAGTTAGGTACGGTATGTGGGAAATGTGACTAAGGAGGAGAAAGGGGTGGTACAAGATAAGTTTGGTGTACCCCCTAAGATGCAACCCACTAAAGCATATCTAAACTAACAAAGATTGTTTGACACTAGTTTATTAGCCCTCAAATAGTACCGTAATGTGTTCAATTGTTTTACAAAGCTGAAGTGCCATCAATTTTTCGATTCACGTCCCCTTGGGGTGCTGATTGTTTTGAACAGCAGCCAGACTTGCCCGGCGAGGGTACATGCAAATGCCACGGCATGCCAAGGCTGTGCGGTGGGATTATGTGCGGCCGGGCACGACAACCCCAGCGGCCAGCAGCGAGCGGTCCTTGCAGATGGCAGCTGGCAGGTGCAGGTCAAAGAGGTCGCAGCGGATGGGCATCTCCACCTAGTGGCGCGGTGGGGTGGGGGGAAGCACGCGGGGTGGGATGGGCACGAAGGGAGTGAAGCGGCGTGAAATTCACATGCAGTGAGAAGGATGAACAGCTCACCGGGTAATGGGTGCCCAATACATGTCATCACATCGAACGCATGTCAGCACATCGAACGCATGTCAGCACATCGAACGCATGTCAGCACATCAAACGGACGTCAGCACATCGAACGCACGTCAGCACATCAAACGCATGTCAGCACATTGAACGCATGTCAGCACATCGAACGCATGTCAGCACATCGAACGCACGTCAGCACATCGAACGCCGGTCAGCACATCGAACGCATGTCAGCACATCGAACGCACGTCAGCACATCAAATGCATGTCAGCACATCGAACGCATGTCAGCACATCGAACACATGTCAGCACATCGAACGCACGTCAGCACATCGAACGCACGTCAGCACATCGAACGCATGTTAGCACATCGAACGCATGTCAGCACATCGAACGCACGTCAGCACATCGAATGCATGTCAGCACATCGAACGCAGGTCAGCACATCGAACGCATGTCAGCACATCGAACGCATGTCAGCACATCGAACGCACGTCGGCACATCGAACGCACGTCAGCACATCGAACGCACGTCAGCACATCGAATGCACGTCAGCACATCGAACGCATGTTAGCACATACCACTAGTGACCCTACCATTTGGGCCGGTCGTGGAGGGCGGACCCGGTCCAACAACCATGGTGTCGACCTTCGCAGACCTCTTTTTCGTATGTTCCCATACTTGGCATTATGGTGATTGTTCTTTCCTTTGCATTGCTTGATGTGTTGTATTTGTGACCTGTGATTCTGCCATGGTTTTTTGTGCCCCTATTGGCAGGAGACACAACAAATTGTAGGTGATTCACCATCGAATCGGGCAATTGCGCTCCCTGCAAACATCCCCGTGTGTGTGTGTATGTGTGTGTGTGTGTGTGTGTGTGTGTGTGTGTGTGTGTGTGTACGTGTGTGTACGTGTGTGTGTATGTGTGTGTGTATGTGTGTGTGTGTGTGTGTATTCTTGTTACTAAACTCCGTGGATTTATTACACACCCCCTTCCTTCCACTCATCCCAACCCTCACCCCCTACACCATTTTCTCACCATTTACTCCAGTGTTTGAACCGTTGCCTCTGCCCTGACCAGTGCTCTTGGTTGAACTGTTATGCAGAGGCCGCGTGGTCGAGATAATTTTTGACTCGATACCTTCCCACTGGACCCTATCGATTGGGTCTCGTCTGCGGTATTTTGTTTTGCATGACACCCTAATCACCCATGTCACAATATTACATGCCCTAATTCTGGTTAACCTATTGGCAACATCAAACTGACAATCACCAGAGTAAACATATGGGCAACTAGTTTGATCTTGGGGTTTAGACCAGTGCCAACTCTCGGGGTAGTCGTGCCCGTATCTGAGGGCCGTAGTATCCATGCCAATAAGATGTTTTGAACAAGAAAATGCAGTGCTAGTGGCCACGTAACTGGAAG